TCCTGGCGGGCGTCTCTGCCGTGGGTGAGCCCTGCGGAGGCTGGCGTCGAGGCAGGGGAGAGGCCTGCTGTCCCGCCTGGACACGAGCCACGGGCATTCTCTTGCACCTGAAGATGTAAACGTGCAGCTGGGCCGTTCCAGTGTCGGTCCCTTCTCTCTGCCGCTTCGCTCCGGCCGACTCTGGCGTGGCTTTCTGCAGGCACGGTGCTGGGCCACGGGCAGGAGCGCAGCGGGAATTTCTTCCGGAGCTCTAAATCGCCATGTGTTTTTGTAGGGCCTGGGCTTATACGCTGCTAGAGACATTGAAAAGCACACTATGGTCATCGAGTACATCGGAACTATTATCCGGAATGAGGTGGCAAACAGGAAGGAGAAGCTTTACGAGTCTCAGGTACGGGCGGTGCGTGTTCACTGTCTCCTTCCCCTTCGGAGCGCTCCTGCGAGAGAGCAGACGCTGCTGTTCTCTTTGAGTCCGGGTCCTCCAGCCCCTCTTCCCTGCTGTGCTCCCAACGCAGTCAGCTAAAGATACACCCGGAGGAGCCCACAGTAGAGGTTTCCTTATCTGAGGAAGAACTTCCTCAGTTTGCGGGCACCAGGGCACGGGAACGGGCTGCCCGGAGAGGTTGCGGAGTCACCTTCCCTGTTGCGGCTCAGCACCCACCTGGATGCCTTCCTCTCCATCCTGCCCTGGACTAGATGATCCCCAAAGTCCCTTCCGGCCCCTCGCAGGGAGGGGAAGGGCGGCGCGTGACTGGCAGCCCCTCCGGAGCTAGCAGGCGCTTTCTGACCCCGCGTGCAGAAGGATGCCCGGGGGTCACCCGCGTTGCTGCCGCCTCTTCGTCGGGGACAATTCCGTAAAATCTCCCAAGAGTCTCTTTTCCCAATCCTGTTTTTCAGAACCGCGGCGTGTACATGTTCCGCATCGACAACGACCACGTCATCGATGCCACCCTGACGGGAGGTCCTGCCAGGTGGGTGGCTCCGGGAGGTCTCTGCCCTGGCCAGGGCTGGCTGCGCGCCACCCGACCGCAGGGCCGCGACGGCTTTCACGCTCCGAGCCGGCGCGGTCAGGCTGCGGACCGTTGCCCTGAGACAGTGCTCCACTCGTCTCTGGTTTTGTCACACGGCTGCTGTGAAGAAAGGATGGCTTTTTGTTATTTTGATGCTTGGTTTTACGTGTTTTTGGCCTTTTCTAGGTAAAGAGACAAGCGGAGAGTAAGGTAGTTGTATGGGGACAGTCAGTGTGGCCCGAAGCGAAGGTCATCCTGAGATTTGGTTTGGATTTGCCTCAAGGGCTGCATTTCCTTGGAGGGTCACCCGTTCCCAACCCTGTTTCCACAGGTACATCAACCATTCGTGCGCGCCGAACTGCGTGGCTGAGGTGGTGACTTTTGAGAGAGGACACAAAATTATCATTAGCTCCAGCAGGAGAATCCAGAAGGGGGAGGAGGTAGGAGTCTCCGGCGGTTCACGGCTCGTTGGGG